TTTTGCCACTTCTGCAGTCGTTAATCTGGGATCCATTTCGATGCTCCTCTTGACAGCCCTTTCTGTCCTCTCCGATGGACCAGGACGACCCGGACGCTGCTCAGTTGTTTCCTAAACTGCACGATGATTCTGTTGACTGTCGAAAGCGGGATTCCCAAATTCTGCGAAATTTGCCGCTAACTTATTCCACCATCTGCTTGACCAACTATCCTTCCTCTAACAAAATCTGACAATTCGAGAGAATCTTGAGTTCTAGACATGTTGTAGCACAAGATAATTAGTGTGCGGACCATTTTCATTTATATAGTGCTCTGTGAACACAAATTAGTTAACATAAATCAGTTAAATGACGAAAAATTAGGTGTCTGTTTACTTGTGACCACTCAGTATAATTTAATGTTAAAACATTAGCCATACACAATTCACACAATCGGCAATTTAGTTTCACACAGAACGATTCTTCACAAGATCGGAGATAATGTCTTCAACGGAGGCCCCCCCAGTGGCACAGCAGAATGTCTGCGGACTTACAACGCTGGAAACCGGGTTTCGATACCCGTGGTGGGCAGAGCACAGATAGCCCATTGTGTAGCTTTGTGCATAATTGCAAACAAACTTCAACGGAGATATTATCCAGTGAATCCCATTTGATGCAGAATTAACATACATGTTAATTTAAATGTTATTGTAATGGAAATAGATAAATAATCATTTCTCTATTGTATCCTCAGAGCGATTTAACTCAAAACCAGAGAGCTTTCAATTCAAAAGGCGGATCTTTCTTCTTCTGGGGCAGTCCTTCATAAATCATGTAGTTTTCTCTTGTTTGAACTAATATTGGTTACCTAATGTGATAACTGTGCCGGGTCGCGATGTATCACAGTCCTTCAGAATACTTGGATAAAAATCATTAAATAAATATGTATTTCATTGAATTTTCTCCACTTTTTTTTTATATTTCACAAGCTTCTGTCTATAATACCAGAGCTTTCGTCAAGTGAATACGATCATCAATCCTAGTGGCAACTTCATGAATTATTTCAACCTACTTTAGTATGTTGTACAAATACTCACCAACTAGTAGACGAACTACTATAAACGTGCTTAAACGATGAAATAAATAACAAAAGTAAGAATAAATACCGAAAAGTGAAGAATATTCACTGAATTATGTATTTATTTAAACACGACCATCTTCGTCGTTAGTTTGTAGACCAAACTTTCGAGATCCATTTTGAGTTTTTGGAGGATAAAAGAAGATATTGTGACGTCACTTGAAATTAACGGTATGATGACCAAATCGACCCCTGGTGGTAACCTAGAATACTAATAACATAGAATATAATTGTTTATTGTGGTTTTGTATTTCTTATATAAAACTGTTTGAAAGTAAATATCAAAACAAACATTTTATTTGTTTATGGACAGCGAGTGAGATTCGCATATGTTCCCATCATTCGTCAGTATATATACAACCTATTGTTAGTGTGACGGAAACTAACGTGTTACATTCTATTGTTAGCGGTGTGATTGTAACTAACGTGTTACATTCAATTGTTAGCGGTGTGATTGTAACTAACGTGTTACATTCTATTGTTAGCAGTGTGATTGTAACTAATGTGTTACATTCTTATGTTAGCAGCGTGATTGTAACCAACATGTATATTAAAGGATATCATACAATATAAGTATTTAACATTTTAAGACATTCGATCAACTATGGGCCCGGCGTGGCCCAACAGATAGCGTGCACAGATCGTGAATTCAAAGATTAATAGTTTACGACACGTTGCCACAAAAACACTTCACATTTGGAGAGCGTTGGTGTGCTTTTTAGTGAGGGTCGTTCCCCACTGCTCGGCCAGATAAGAGTAGCCTAATAGTCGGTGTGGGCGCTGAGCGGCCTTTTCTTTAGTCTGTTAATTTTAAAGTTGAAGAAGGATAAGCGCACGTATGTTTGGCGTAGCTTTGAATGAAACTCTAAAACAGACGGACAAGCATTTCCTGAAATTCACGTGCGCTTGATGTTTCAGAAATTATAACGTAATATGAGCCAACTATTCACGATTGTCTCGTCTAGAGTCGCGATTCTCAAAAGAAGAACAAAACCAATTAAAAATGATATTTTCATCGTTCAATCATCAGCCCTAGTGACAACTTCATGAATTATTTGAAAATGTTCGAGGTTTTGAGTTTCAAATTTGACAGCCGTACATTAGGCAAATCACGCGTTTCTGTACTTTTATTTTATTCGTTGCATTTTTTCTTCATAAGGAAGCATAAAAAGTAACCAGTTCACCATGTAGCTAGACGCGTGAAGCTTAAAAGACATGTATGATCGCACGAGGAAGAAAATAAAAGCACACGCTGAACCATTTTTACCAAAGTATCAATAGTAAGTTATTTCTGCATTTTATGATTAAACGTGATCAATACAGACCTTGCTCTTCCAAAAAGAGTCCGGACACAAAATGAGGATTCTAGTGATTAATGCTTCAATAAAACACATTCTTTAACTTAGTAGAGTGTAGAACCATCCTTGGGCTGAATAAATGTAGCTATTCTGTAAAACACCCTGTTAACTTTGTATCGTGTAGAACCATCCTTGGGCTGAATAAATGTAGCTATTCTGTAAAACACCCTGTTAACTTAGTATCGTGTAGAACCATCCTTGAGCTGAATAAATGTAGCTATTCTGTAAAACACCCTGTTAACTTTGTATCGTGTAGAACCATCCTTGGGCTGAATAAATGTTGGTATTCTGTAAAACACCCTGTTAATTTAGTATCGTGTAGAATCATCCTTGGGCTGAATAAACGTGAGAATAAATAGTGAGATTGACCGTCACGTTATAACGCTCACCACGGCTGAAAAGGCGAGCATGTTCGGTATGATAGAGATTCGATCCGGCTACCTTCAGAATGAGAGTTGAGCGCCCTAACCATTAGGTCCCCATAGTGATGAGAAGCTTTAGATTGTGGTGATAATTTTGAGAGTAAGGTCTATGTACTCACCCGTTCTTAACTGCCCACAATCGTGGGCTTTACAAATCTCACATATGATATCTATTAACCAATACTGGCATAGGATGCAGTTACGTCACTATAAATATTAAAAAAAAAAAACGGGTTCTGTCAATTTGTCACAATTTTGAAATCGTGCTTTTAAACACTTTTGGTACTTTAACGTGTTTCTTCAGACCAGTGCTATCAGGTTTCGGGTACCACACAGTAGATCACGCATGCCAATACAGTTCATTCACTTCAAGAAGTTTCAGCTTCTTATAACAAATTTCATACCTTTACTTGTCTGACATGGACCTCTAGCGGAGCATGTCGAGTAGACTATGTCACGTGTTTCAATTTAGAGTGACCTGATCTTTCGTGCTCACATTTTTGTATACTAATTGTAACTGCGTAACAAGTTTTCAAAAGTCAAAATTATAACTGTAACTTCTAACAAAAATTCCCTAACTTCATTTTTTTAGTAATAGTTAAGACGTGATTAGGCTTAACTCTTGAGAAGTATGTATACATACCAGTCGAGCAATGTATGCCTGAAAACACTGTTATAAGGGGGGGGGGGGGAGTTGCCCAACTGGTAAATCACCGTAAATCTAATCATTTTAGGTTTCATTGTACTGATGTATTCATTTATTGTCTTAATCATTTTAGGTTTTAGTGTATTGATTTATGCATGGCACTACGTATATATATATTCGGTTTATTATTGTTTTCAGTACTTGACAAGATACTTATTAGTTCCGATCGAAGCAGGTCATTATTAGTCACGTGATTATAACCGAGTTGTTGACCACAGTGTATGGTTGGTGTTTTGAACAACCTCGTTCAAACATATTTGTATTATTAATAATGTTTTTTAATGTTGACAAAATATCCGTTAGTTTGTGATGATTCAAAATACAATGAGCTTTTTTTCTTTGGTTTGTTTTAGCACAAAGCTACACAATGGGCTATCTGTCCAATGTTGGGAATTGAACCTCAGATCTTAGTGTTGTAAGTCCGTAAACCTACCACTGACCCATTGGGGGATAGTATGCAGAAGAAAAAATCCAATTTTTCAGTAAGACAAACACATTACTACTACTTTATTCGATTTAAAAAAAAAGCGTTTATTTTGACAAATATATTAAGTTACTTTTCATTCCTACACGGGTTAACACCGTTTATTTGAACAACCTTCCAAAAAATGATCAACAACGAAAGATAAGCGTACATGAAGCACAAACCTACTGAAAATAACACATTGTTCTGACTTAATTAAAGTAATAACAGGTTTATCTGTAAACAGTTAATTCGTAGATTCTCCCTACAGCTTAAAGATTTTTTTTTATCAGGTTTCCATCACAATTTGGTTGTTTCCTCTTTATTTACATGTAAATAATTATCTACTCTTAACTTATAAATCACATGAAAATTCAATCACAAACACATAACTAACTCTAGTCTCTTGAGCATCCCATACAAGAACTGAAAGATCTGGAGTATAACTACTTCAATAAGGAAAATCAATCAGTTTGTAATCCCAATATTGTTTTTAAAATTATTATGATGCTAGCCTAGCAGTAATGTTACAGATTCCACACACACACACACGAATGAATCAAGCTTTAATCCAAAACAACAAGTGCAATAAATGTTTATTACACTTTTTTCTTCTTTTTTTCAGTGTTACCGGTTAGTTAAAATATAGAAACTGCTATATATCTGTTGAAAAGATACAAAGAAATAGACATTAAATACAGTTAATCAAAACACTTGTTATCAACACATCTTTCTTCGAGCATTATTTTCCAAACAAAATGCCTATGATAAAAACAGTGAATAATTCCAAACTATTACAGTGGGCGTAACAATCGGAGGTGAAGTAACCAACGGTAAACAAAAATACTCGGAATAACACAATGACCGATTATTCCATTATTTTTTAAATATTTTCAGTGAAACACACGAGAGGTGAATGCATGCCAGAAATGCCACTCTGAATGATTAAATTTGAACATTTACATTTGCTTTCCAGTTGATTATAATTTCACCTTCCAGAAAACCAAAATTAAAATCCATCCTATTGATAGATATATGTCTGATAGAAAACTAATAAATGTTTAAAATAGTTTTTCCAGGTGTAGTAGTGAAATAATGGAATGTAATCTTATTACGATATACACATACATACATCTTTTTAAATATCAATACACTTTTTTTTTTATCAAATAATTCCAAACGGTTTTATTGGGAATAAGCAGTGATATAGCTGGTAATATAACCTTCATAAAATTACCCACAAATCAACAACACCACCACAATATTCCACCTTATGTGAAAATTCAACAAGAACTTTTATGCAAATCACATGTTTGATCAAAAAATAATTACAACTTTTTTATTTTATTTAATAATCAATAAACTTCAGTAACATTTTATTGATAAACCCAATTCAATTCCACATCCTCATAAAGAATAATTATGAATCTTTTTTTTCCTACACAGTTTTAAAACTCAGTCCTCTATAAGGTTGGCTAAAAATACAACTGTACATTTTTGCTTGACGTAGAATAGCACTGTAAACACCGACGTTATAATGAAGCCTACTTCTATTGAGTAAATTACTTTTGATTTACCAGATCTTTTAAAACTAGAGCTACGTTTATTTACGGACAACTATTCAGCAAATCCAGCTGTGTCCGTCTTTCAAGCTGGAAAGTATGTTACGTCGCAGCACGTATACATGCCGAACTTAACATAATTTCTATACATTAAGTACAAAGCAAGCTAAAACTCCGATGGTTTCCAAAATTAGGAATACAATTAAAAAACAAACAGGCAACTCAAACAAAGAAATTTTTACCACAGCAACCGACGTCATTAACCAACGTATTTACCCAAGTCGATAATGCATTTGACTTCGACCACACGAAGCAAGTAGGGTAACACAGATAGGTGAATATAAATAATAATCCAAGTAACTGACATTATGGAATGTATAACCACACACATCTCACCCAGCTAACTTAATAAAAGCAATTCTAAAAAAAAAAAACTTACAAGTCCTGGGAAATGATTATATTATAACAACAGAAAAAACCCAACAAAATTCTAAAATCCACACTAATTCAGAATTCAAATCCTGGTATAAAAAAAAATGTTCAAAAAAATTACAGCAATGGTATATATCTTCTGAACATTAATTTCTATTTAAAAATGCACAACCATAAAATTTCGTGATGCCTCAGGTTCAATAGCTTTACAAAAAAAGAAGAGTATACAAATCTAATATAAATTGACATTTCTAAGTTTTGAAGGTGAAATCTTTATATATTAGATTTTTCCATATGTTTTTAGTAATTCCAGTAAACAACCTAATGACTGGATACACATTTTCAGAAACACATAGTCTTTGTAGTTATTTCTTAAACACTTTATGATAAAAATAAATGCTGTTTATGTGCTTTCATAAGTTAAACAGGGGGGTGTCACATGTATTTGTAAAAATATGTGAAAAGAGGTAGAGGGGGGAGGGTTCAAGGAGATAAAGCCAAATATCTATTCTATATAACAGGCATCTGGGTTCAACACAATTTTATTTAGCTGAATTACTTTGGGTTCTATTTAGAATAATATTTAAATAATGCCCTTGTGTTAAGCCTTTTTAACTCTTCATTAATGAACCAGAAATTTCAACTAAATTAAGATTTAAAATGGTTTACTAATTTTCTAAGACATTTACCCCCTCTCAGCTACAGTAATAACAAATTTAATCCTTTTTCTGTTCAAATATACATAGATTCAAAATTCCTAAATTCACACTTATATTTTATTCAGTAGAAAAATCAAATTAAAACACGCAAGGTAATACTTTATTTGATCCAACGGATGTTATAAATAAGTTCAATAACACGTGCATTTAGCCACAATCTACGGATATTAAAACAATAACACATGCATTAGAGATCTATAACACAGTCTAGGTGTCCTATTGGATTTTGTCGACTGTCCCTAATTCAGTACGGTTTAGTTTATAAACAGTACCACATATTCCACAAATCAGTATTCCAGGCGTGATCCGTTAAGTAACCAGAAGTGAAGTTCAACTTATCAAGATGCGAGAGATTAGCTACAAATATCACAGAAAACTTAAACCGAATTTTTATATGTCTTCTAAAACATATGTATGAGTAAAGAACATCAATTGACAGTTTTTACAAGAAAACAAAACAATTATCAGATATTTCTAAGTACAGAAGTGTACAATATCCAGTAGTAGCAATGAAGTTAAAGTCAAATAAAATAACTTTCTAGCATGCATATTTTATTCTTTAAAAAATGACAAAGACACAAATGTAGTGTTCTCTAGTTTGTAACAGTGTTCAGTTATTAAAAAATAATTACTACAATAAAATCTTCAGATGCTAGGTATACAATTTAAAAACTATGGACATACTGATTATGTTGAGAAAACACAAACTTTAAAAAAAATCAAGAGTCACATTTCGACACAACCGTCATCTTTATGGTGGCCGAACTGACCCAACGGCCATAACATTCATTAGGCATTTGAATTCTGAGACTGCGGTTTACATTATTACATGTACTTTGGCATGAAATCAAAAAAAAACTTTATGCATTCTTGATATTATAACACTCCGAACTAATCTTGGTAGGACCAGAAGTAAGTAAAAGAAAAATGGTATCAAATATGCTTATAAAAACTTTTAAAAGCTTATGTATCTTACCACACCCACACACAGAGAAATAACTGGACAAATGGCAGTAATATAATTAAACATGTCTTTGCTGTTTTTAAAGGATGTGCTTTTTAAACCTAGTATATTTTAGATCAATGGGTCCACAGTTTTTAAATTAAAAACAACTTAGACGTATAAAACCAAAGTTTATAATTTTTTCCTCATAACCTGGCTCTCTTGAAGACTATATATTTTATACAAATTGGACATAACAGTGTCCAATTTGTAGCATTGCTTGCCACACAAACTTCAACAGATTCATTCATTTACATTTGGAAAAAGATCTGTTTCTTGTATTATGAAAAAAATTTCATAATTTTTGATTATTTTTTGCCTTGAATTTAAATTAACATAAGTGTCTTTTGCTACTATTACCGAGTATACTTCTCAAAACGTTACACATTACTTGCTATACAGTCGCAGGAGCAAGACGATAATGACTAGACTCAAATTATTTTGATTATAATTCTAATATCTCATCTTAGATTACGCCGTTCAAATCAATCAACTTTTAAAATCCCGAAAAAAAAATGATGTTTTCATTAACTGGGGATGAAATGAATAACAGGATGTTTTTATTAAGTTAAACTTGTAGGGGGGAGGGGAGGAGATCCCCCTGATAATCTTCTTAGTGGTCTTTGGCTCGATTACACGTTAGACGTATAAGGGAACAATCCAAGCTATTTTTTTAATTCTCAGGAGAAGTTAACTTTATTTATAAGTAGAGCTTCCAAATATTTTGTTTTCCAAATGTCAAAAAATAAAAAAACAATTACATCACCCCAAAATTATATTACCCCCAAAACTAAAGATTTCTATTACGAGTATTTTCAATACGGTCATCCTTTTAAATTGATTACTGCAGCATTATGAAACTCCTTAAACAAATCCCTGAAACAGGTATTTCATGAACTTAAAGGAACAAAACTACTTAGGTTTCTAATAATTTTGATGAATGACAGAATTTTTCAATTACGTGACAACTTGTATTTACCGCACATGACTTCCTAGAGGGTGTACCCTTAATGTTGTGAAGAAATAAATGAATGGTTATATAAAAAAAATTGGTCAGTGTGTGTGACGTCCTGATGTTAGTGAGGATAAAATACACAGAATAAATCGGGAAAGAATTTGCACTAACAAATCACGAGTAATTACACAGGAGTTAAACCGTTATAAATTAACAGATACCAATGTTTTAAGTAAATATTTATCACAACAAAATAATTTTTGTAATTTTTAAAAATTATTTCGATGTCTACTGATGGGAAAAGTTGACAGCTAATGCCCCTTGTTTTAAAAAATAAACCAGTCTTCCAAATATACTTAAAAAAAAATAGAAGTTACTGAAATTCATATAGGAGCACGATTAATTAAAAAGCCAAAAGAAAAATATCACCAATTAAGCAGTTTCTGGTTAGTAACTCAGGCAAACATTCAACCCACGTTGGTTTCCAAGGTTACCAACTCAGGCAAACATTCAACCGGTGTTGGTTTCCAGGGTTACCAACTCAGGCAAACATTCAACCGATGTTGGTTTCGAAGGTTAGTAACTCAAGCAAACATTCAACCGATGTTGGTTTCCAAGGTTACCAACTCAGGCAAACATTCATCCAGTGTTGGTTTCCAAGGTTACCAACTCAGGCAAACATTCAACCGATGTTGGTTTCCAAGATTCAAGATTTTTCTTTTCAGTGTCGCGAGTGACTGCTATTGATAATTATTGGATGGGAAGTAAAAAAAAATAAATGAAAATTATCAAACATATATCACCCATATAACAACTTTTAAACCCAAACACATTATGTTGTTCCAATCAGCTTTCTCTACTGCATCCGCTCGACTTGAGGCCGGAGTACATTATGGGAATAATTAGATCGTCCATGTTAGGCATCACCAATAACTTCTGTGGTACAGAAAAAGTTTATTAGCCTACTGACTATGACTGACGTGCTATAGATCTTTATTTAGCTATGTTCAAACTGAATGAAACTGGACCAACTTACTTAGTTCTAGACACATTATATTCTATAATTTCTGAGATTTATAACATCTGCTTTCTGATACATTAGATCAAAATATTTGTGCCAAGGTAGTGACAGTGCCAAATCACTCCACAATGAAGACTCCTTGTTGTTCTTGTCAACATAAAATAATACAAATATATATATACAACAAAAATAAACATGATAATATCGTGACAAGTCTGTAAGTACATATAAAAGCAAGAGCAGATATATGTACTCATGTATTACAACAAGTGTGTAAACATATATATCACAAGTGTGTATACATATCACAAGTGTGTAAACATACATATCACAACAAGTGTAAACATACATATCACAACAAGTGTAAACATACATATCACAAGTGTGTAAACATACATATCACAAGTGTGTAAACATATATCACAAGTGTGTAAACATACATATCACAACAAGTGTGTAAACATACATATCACAAGTGTGTAAACATACATATCACAAGTGTGTAAACATATATCACAAGTGTGTAAACATACATATCACAACAAGTGTGTAATCATACATATCACAACAAGTGTGTAAACATACATATCACAACAAGTGTGTAAACATACATATCACAACAAGTGTGTAAACATACATATCACAAGTGTGTAAACATACATATCACAACAAGTGTGTAAACATACATATCACAACAAGTGTGTAAACATACGTATCACAACAAGTGTAGACATACACTCACTTATCACAGTGTAAACATACATTTCACAGCTAGTGTAGACATACACTTACTTATCACAGTGTAGACATACATTTCACAGCTGGTGTAGACATACACTCACTTATCACAAAGTGTAAACATAAATTTCACAGCTAGTGTAGACATACACTCACTTATCACAAAGTGTAAACATACATTTCACAGCTAGTGTAGACATACACTCACTTATCACAGTGTAAACATACATTTCACAGATAGTGTAGACATACACTCACTTATCACAAAGTGTAAACATACATTTCACAGCTAGTGTAGACATACACTCACCTATCACAAAGTGTAAACATACATTTCACAGCTAGTGTAGACATACACTCACTTATCACAAAGTGTAAACATACATTTCACAGCTAGTGTAGACATACACTCACTTATCACAAAGTGTAAACATACATTTCACAGCTAGTGTAGACATACATGTCACAGATATATATATATATATATATATATATGTAGTAGGTATATGCTTATATATCACAAGTGTAGACATGTACATATCCCAAGACTATTGTATATGTTAATCTACTTATATAAAAGGCTGTACATATTTTAGTAAGCAGGCACATTATACTAATATAATAATAATTCAGCAAACAACAATTTATAAGCATTATCAAGTGATAAAGCTTTGTATATATATATAATTTTATTTCCCAGCACGTAGAGAAGTTTAAAAATAACTATGTACGAACATAAAGTTTAGGCTTACTTGAAATTCTATGGACAACTTTTTTTCAATCCATTCTGTGACGTGACCTATGGTAACTTTCTTTTCTCCTAATTTTGGCCGTGCCGAAATGGATAATTTGGGGTTACCACGAAATCCATACCTTTTATGAAACATATCTTGTCAGAACATTTCACATCTTACATGCGAAATTCTTTGATATTTAATATATGTTCAAATATCGGGCAATATGGTAAGAAGAGAGTTCGGTCTGATAGAATACCTAATTTTATACACGTAAACTTTCTCGGAGATAAAAATTTAAAATTCTAAACTATCACACCTAATACATTTCTTTGTAGAAAAGTTTACAAATGAGTAAATTGAAAACTTCAAAATTAATTGACACACACATCACTTCAAACAGAACTTGTGCATAATTTTATATTTTTATCAAGGAAAGAGAGTAAATTACAGATATTCACTTCATACCTAAGATTCTGTGAGCTACGTTTACTTTTACAGTAACATTAAATAAACAGAAAATGTTTGAGACAATGAGTTTGTAAGTGTATCATTTCATGATATGTTCCCTAGGCCTATGAGGCCTCAGTGCGTATCTTGATTTTTTGTTTCTATAACATTAAATAAACAGAAAATGTTTGAGACAATGAGTTTGTAAGTGTATCATTTAATGATACGTTCCCTAGGCCTATGAGGCCTCAGTGCGTATCTTGATTTTTTGTTTCTATAACATTAAATCCAAAAGAATCCATATGCTAGGAGGCTCTAATGAAGTAGGTATATGATTTCAGTACAATAAAATATTAGTGACAACTATACGGGAGTGCAAGGAATTACTCCACTAGCACATGTGTAACTTAGTGGTTAAGAATTACTCCACTAACACACATGTAATTTAGTGGTTAAGAATTACTCCACTAGTTCATGTGTAATTTAGTGGTTAAGAATTACTCCACTGGCACACGTGTAATTTAGTGGTTAAGAATTACTCCACTAGCACATATGTGATTTAGTGGTTAAGAATTATTCCACTAGCACGTGTGTGATTTAGTGGTTAAGAATTACTCCACTAGCACACATGTAATTTAGTGGTTAAGAATTACTCCACTAGCACATGTGTGATTTAGTGGTTAAGAATTACTCCACTAGCACATGTGTGATTTAGTGGTTAAGAATTACTCCACTAGCACACATGTAATTTAGTGGTTAAGAATTACTCCACTAGCACACATGTAATTTAGTGGTTAAGAATTACTCCACTAGCACATGTGTGATTTAGTGGTTAAGAATTACTCCACTAGCACACATGTAATTTAGTGGTTAAGAAACACACACTAAATTACATTATTTAGAAAACTTAGATGATCTGAATAATGACCCACCATAGTTAGAGCGTCCAAACTGAATAAATTTGAGAAAAAAAAAAGGGTAACAAAACCTATTTAATGATTTTGAGAGCAAGATAATTTCAATAGCTACAATAACTATCAAAGTTATTTACATCGAGTGGTAAAACCAAGAAAACAGTGAAATGTTGACTGATACGGCTGTGTGAGGTAAATCTAGAAGTTATTCTGAAGCTTAATCTCAAATAACCTGTGTGAGGTTAAATCTGAAGGTATTCTAAAGTTTAATCTTGGGTACTCTGTGTGAGGTTAAATCTAAGGGTATTTTGAAGTTTAACCTCAAATAATCTGTGTGAGGTAAATCTGAAGGTATTCTAAAGTTTAACCTCAGGTAATCTGTGTGAGGTAAATCTAAAGGTATTCTGAAGTTTAATCTCAGGTAATCTGTGTGAGGTAAATCTGAAGGTATTCTAAAGTTTAACCTCAGGTAATCTGTGCGAGATAAATCTGAAGTTATCCTAAAGTTTAATCTCAAGTAATCTGTGAGGTAAATCTGATGTTTAACCTCAGGTAATCTGTGTAAGGTACATCTGAAGATATTTTAAAGTTTATATCAGGTAGTCAGTCAAGTCAGTAAAATCAGGTAGAACGATCCATCAAACTTAAAGGCAAGAGAGAAAAGATACAATGTGTGAAAAATTCATCCTCTACTTATCACGATCAACTGATGAACGTATAAAAGTTACAAACCTACAGTAACACAAAATCTAGAAAATATGCAGAACACTCTCACTGCACTAAATGTAAAACAAACCATAAATCTATATTAACATGGTTTGAAAAAAAAATTATCACAGTAAAAACACAAATTATATAAGGTATAGTTCAAACGAGTAGTTACCAAAGTCTATCAGTTGGTGCTGGAGGAATATTGACAGCTAATGTTCCAACCAAACCATGTACTTCAACTGTTAGCAGTATGGGAGTATTGGAGACCTCTTCCATTGCTCGCTTGATGTATTTATTTTCTGTGGCTTGTTGAAAGTATCGAGACTGAGTCAACTTGTCTACAAATCTGAGAATCTTCTTACTGGTACTAGTACCGATACCAGCAGCCGAAGTGACGAGTGACCTACAGGATAAAAATATAGCATATTTTAGATTCTTATTGGTCACTTTTTTAAATCCAATATTTTTTATTTAGAGTGCTTTCAAATCATTTCAAGTTGACCGAAACCATAAACGAATACAGTTTATATACCGTTTAACTCAATACTACTATTAAGTCTTTAATATTAGTTGCAATAAGTGATTGACTCAACTGTTTTCAGTTCCGACCATTACATATAACAATGTGGTTTAGAGCCGTGTACAGTGAGACTCACTTTAATTATAGTCTGTTTATTTCATCTAAATGACACGTTCTTGTGTAAGCTTGGCACAGTAAATGGTAAATCACAAAAAACAAGCATGTTTTACTCAAGCAAAGAGTAACATATTTCTCTGTAAAAGTTCAACATCAGTATAAATAGTTACCATGACTGACTTACGAGTTTGTTTGAGAATTTCTCACAAAGATACACAAAGGGTTATACACACACACAGGTGTTCATTTTGAAATGATAAGACTAGGGGGAAGCCCATTTACCACCAAATTATGGGCTATTATTATTTGAACATTAGGCAGGAGTTGACTGTCACGCTTATCCCCGAGTCCTCAGGTTTTAACCAGGATGCATTAACTACTACAGAACTTTCCGAGAAGCTCCCAAGTTAAGTCAGCCAACTACAGTTAATTTTTAATGGAATACTATAAAACAGGTACACCTATTACAGTTCAAAATATCACATTAACCTGTTTCATCCAGCCATCTAAGGTCATCAAATATTCTATTATAAATAAAAATACATTACAAACAAATTATACACAAACTATAATGTTGTCCTGATGTTTACATTGAGTTTTTTTTACCTACACTTTAGATGTATCAGTATCAAATGAGACTTAGTTAAAAACTTTAGTAATTAAATAAATGCATCTTTTTTTCTCAATTTAATTGTTATTAGATGTTTCTAGAGACATAAGGTTATTTGAGACTGTATTTGGAAATCGTTAAAAATTGAAACTTATAGTTTTTGATAATATAATTCAGTTCTAAATAGCCGTTAGTTAATAGAGAAATTAAACAAATTATTTTCACTGGAAGGAATTCTTTATCACCAACATAGAGCTTATACTGGTCATGTAGAAGTTAACACTAACCAAGGGAAACTAAATTTCAACTTATTGGGCTTGTTTAGATAAATGTCTTCAATCAAACTTCCATAGCCCTTATAATAGTTAAACTTTTACGACATTCTACTTCCAACAAGAAAACTTCGTATAGTTTAAATAAAACAGCAAGTATTCAGAATCAGATTAATATTCTTGATAAAAGCATTAACTCTTTCTCAAAACCCAAGTAGCTTTTAACTCACTTTTCTTCAGCATGCTCTACAGCACTTGTACTTATCTCATCATCACTTGATGATTCTGCACTGTCTTCTTCATCACTGTCATACAGATATGACCTGTAAAAAAAGACAGTTGTACAATTCTAAAACATACAAAATTAAAC